ATTTAATTTAATTAAATAGCAGCTCATTGCAGGTGGTTTTTGTAGTTTTAAAAGTTGATCGATATTAAAGAAAAAATGTGCAGCTTCAATCCTAAATCCAATCAGTTTTTTGTGCTCTTCTTCTTTCTCTGTGGACAGGACACCATAAAAGGAAAAATCCATGAAATATTAACTAAGGGGTCAAAGTGCCGAGGACGGGTGCACCATATGGTCGAGTCTGGACCTATCTCTCTGTCTCTCTCCACCTCTCGAACCCTTCAGGTATCTGCGTCATTGCTACAAACCAGGACGGCTGCTGCCTGGCATATGGCAGCGCCCTGCACCATGGGAGGGCTTAGCCACTTTTGAAATTATTAAATGAGAATAGTTTTGAATGGGGTTTCGTTGTGAGAATAACTTTTGCATTGCCCTGAGTCATTCTTTGATTTTATACAGAACTTTAGGTCTGCTAAAAATGAAGTTTTAATTATGTTTATGGAAACGCCCAAACGCAAATTCTTTCATTTGGTAACGATCTGTTATGATTAGATCTGTTTTTGAGAAGGAAAAAAAGGTAGAAAAGCCGAAACCCAAACCAATGAAGATGAGTATTGCCTATGGTTTCAATGGATTCGATTGGATAATTGCAGAGCCCAATCTTGTACTTTTTTTGTAGTTCAATATTTTTGGAAAGAGTAAAAATAAGCAGAAAGTCACCTCTGAGCATGGTCGCTCACATTCAAACAAGTTCTTTCTCCACTGGAGGCTGTTATTTTGTTCATTTTTCCTCCAGATGTCACCCACTGTTCCAGTGTTCGCCGAAGCTGATGACATTGACGATGCTGATGGTCTTCCAGTCTAATGCGGCACCACATTTTGTAGTTGTCTAAACCAATTTCACAATTTACATAAACCCAGACTCACACACACCACACTCATTTACAACAACAACGGCTGCTGCTGCTGTTGTTGGTAGTTTCTTGTGCCTCTCTCTAACTTTCTATCTCTGTCGAGTGGAAAGGCAATTTGAGTAATTTTTGCGCCAGCGGTGGCCGTGTGCCTAATTTGTGAGCATTACTATTCAGCCGGCGTTCGAGTCGAGTCGAGTCGAGCCAAGCCGAGCGAGCAGTTTATTCTGGCTTAAAATATGGACTTTAGTTCCAATCTCACCGGACGAACAGCACCCACGAATGGGGGTCGTTGAAGGGCTGTGGAGTGGATGGGAGGGCCACTTGCCATGCCAACGGGGGGCAATGGCAATCCCTGAAAACTGACGGAGAGCAAGAAAACAATTTGAGTGTTATTGCACGTTTCACTCTTTCTGCTGTGTATCTGCGTGTCTGTCTCTCTGACTATTGTCAAGTGCGGTAAATGGCTAGATCACACTTCATGCTGTGGCTCCTTTTTCATCTCCTGTGCTAAAGCAAACAAAGGGAGAACACGGCAGAAACCCAGAAAATTAATCGGCTTAAGGGGCATAGTTTTGTGGCATGGCCATCTCTCTTGTGTATGTCCTTTTTGACAAGCGTTTTTCCCGGAGGCCAAAGAGTATACTATCTTCTTGTAGATGTCTGTTACACACAAAATAAAAGGGTATTGCTTGGTCGTAGCATCAACTAAAATATCTTCGCTTCTTACGAATTACAAACACTCAATGTAGCACAAAAATAAAATTCGTTTTTGCTATTTGCTGCTTTTTTTTTGTTCATTGTTTGGCTGGATGGCAAATTCCTTTGAGGGGAAATCAAAACCGAATTGATTTCCTGATAAATCGGTTTTAATTGAAAATGCAAACTCTGCCTTGAGCAACTCTTTCTCTCCGGCTTTGGGTGGATCCCTTTCAAGGATTGGAACTCTTGACAAACCAAACAAGGAGCAAAAAGGAAAAGCGAAAAAGTGCACCTACAGTTCTGGGTAGATTTCAAATGTACTATTTTGTTCTTTTTTAAGGGCGTGGGGGAGTGAAATTTTCAATTTGCATTTTAACAAAAATTTCACATTCGCTGGGAACCTTTTTTTTTGGCTGGGCCTGAAACTGGGCTTCGGTTGGACCTTATCAACACAGGCAAATCACACGCATCCGCTGGAAATGATTTCGTGAGGGAAATTTATGCGGTTGCCCTGTGTGGATTCTCTCTTTTTTCTCTTTGGAAGCTCCATCTTTTTTTTTGGGTTTCTCTCGCCAGCGAGACACGTAGATTTTCGGGCCAACTGAAACTGAAGGTAACCCGAGAATGGATTCTAGCAGAATGGTTGGATTGGCTTGCCCCACCTAAATCATTGGCTCTGACAAGAACGTGAAATGAAATAATTTTAAAATGCAAATTCTTTCTTATCAAGCCACTGAAATCTTGGCCCTGAAATCAGCACAAAACCGTAGACTTCTGCTCCCGGCCCCCATGTCCATTGAGCATTGAACTTGTCCGGGATATCCTCAGGGGTAAAAGTGGCACTTGGGCTGGGGCTGAAGGTAACCGCAAATGAGTTTGTTTTCCTATCACGAATATTACGGCTTGAATGGGTATTGAAGGTAGGTATACCTAAAGTAAGAAGTTCATTCTGCAGGTTAAAGGTTAACCGAAATGAGGGCTTGAGGACATACGAAAATTAAGATGGAAAGAGGAGAGTGTACGCTTCTCTAGGCGTTATTATTACCACAATTATGTCTTCAGCGTATATCCTCTTTAGTGTCCGCAAATGAATTCTATGGATGGGAGCTTCTTAAAGGATTGTATGGAGTTTTTTCCTGATTCGGTTATACGTATTTTTTCTATGGAGAATATCACTTAAATTTGACCAAAACTTGTCGTCCGACTTCAAGGAGCATATCCGTTATATTTTCCTTAAAGAAAATATTTACAAAATAGAATTTCTAAAATAATTTTAACTTCTAAACAAATTTAGTGACCTTTAATCAAACGACAAATTCTCAGAATTTTTGCTCTAAATTGATGAAATCGAAATGATTTCAACTGCAGTCCGCAATTCCGCCCTCTTGTTGCCTGTTTTTGTGGTTTGCTCAAAAACTTTTCACTTCAATGACTTCGCTGCCAAGTTCAAGTCTTGGTCCTGTTCCTAGTCTAGGTCTTGGTACACACCCCCACAATTTAGTGGGTGCTCAGCCCCAGGACAAACATGTCCTTCTGTGAGTGTCGGGGCAGAAAGTTGCTCAAAAAAGAAAGTTCCTCCGATTGTGGGTTGAGTGTTGAGCTAATCATTCCTGTGGCTTTCGCCTAGTTTTGGAAGATGCTCTTCCGTTTTTTTTTGGGTTGGTGTTTGGAATTTTACTGCCTGAAGTTATTAGCTTTGTAATCTTTTAATAAAGTTTCGCACAAATTGATGGGCCTTCAATTTATTTGCACAAAAGAAAACAAACAAGTTCAACATTCCGGGGTCTTGATTCTGGTATTCGACTGCGGGATACCTGGTAAAATAATTCAGGCGATGTTAGCTCCAATTTATAAATCTTCTCGAACCCAATATTTTATTTAAAATTCACAAATACCGCTTAAAAAAATCAAATTATTTTCGCTCATGAATTGTGCAAACATCGAACAGATACGGAACGGATGACAAATTTATGATTGGAAAATAATTACAATTGAAATGCAAACATATCATAAATTTAATAAAATAAATATAAATATTTGTGCTGTTTTGCTGCATTTCATTTTGGTAATTAAAGCCAGGTGGCGGATGGGGTTGTGTGGACCTTTAATTTCCCTCGAAAACCCCCGGCCAAGGACGCTGGGGTACACGTGTATATGAGATGATTATGAAGCCAAAGTTACCATTTCTTTTTTGTCGGTGAGTTTTCCTCTAGGGCACACAAGCACAGTGGAAAAGCATAAAGAGGAAAAGTTTAAAAGGGAAACAGAGACCGGGCAAGGAAAAGGAAAAAGGCAGCCAAAAGTAACAAAAACAAGCAACTTTTACTCACTAAAAAAAGCCCACACAGAACCAGAAACAAAATGAAACGAAAGCCACCACAGGCAGTGACATTAAGCGGCAAATTTTTATGATTTTAATTAGCATAAAAGCGTAATTGAAAATTAACTGAAACGAAATACACGTGCGACTGTGTGTGACACAAACATTCAGAGAGAAGAGTGAGAAAGAGGTTGATGTTTTTTTTATTGAAATTTAAATTCATGCGCCGTGCGTAAGATGATTGCAATAATTTTGGCTTTGAAGCGAGTCCTCTAGAATTTGTGATATAAATTTATTTGAATCTTTTTTGATTTGTAGAATTACATTTTAATAGGGATTTTCATTGTGTAATGGGTTAAACGGTGTTGTGATGGTTAAACGAGTTAGAATCAACAAAGATTACGTTAAAAAGAAGGCGAAAAGTTGTATACAATTAAATGAATCCTTTTGGGAGGATAGGGCAAGGGGTAGGGTGAGCAAAGAAAGTTGGTAAAAGTCCTCATCCTAAGATAACAAATATAAAATCTAATATCTCTTTTAAATTGCATTTTCAAGTAAATTGCATTAAATATAAACGAAAGCCATATCCATTTCCGCTTTGACCCAGGCTGGAGAAGGGTGTAATGTAATTACACATTCTGCCTACATTTATGAATATTTTATTCACACAAAAAATACCTGTAATGCGTGCAGTATTGAATATTCAAATTGCGTTAATAATATAATTTAATTTGTTTTGGGCTTACATTTAATCAAATTCGGTTCAATTAACACGTATTTTTAATGTGATAACCAAGTGTGTATGTCAGAAATGAAAAATCTGATTTTTGAACGAAAGTGAACTCAAACAAATTCATTTTTACTTTTGCTGGGATCAAGGCATTAAGTTCCGGCTTTCCACCTTCTTTAAACATATTAAAATTGTAATTTGAAACCTAATTTAAATATTTCATTATATTCCCTAATCCATATTATTTTATGAATAAAAGTACGGGAACTTGCCCGAATCTTACCACAAAAATCTCGTTAAATATTTTGCTTCAATTTAAGGACTGTCAAACAATTTCTGGTTTATTTTGCATTTTCCACAGAACTTGTCACCTGCAGCGAGGCAAAGCCGCAGCCGCAGCCGCAGCCACAGCCACACGCAGGGGCAGAGCCAGAGCCAGGACCAGCAATGGGGCAGGTACAGGCAGAGGCACAACCACCGACACCGACACAGACACGGACACAGCTTATGCCAGCCCCGAGATCCACACTGTCAGATAGGCCAATGACAACACACAACGATCTAATTACGACAGCCAGGAACTTGACGACAGCAAAAAAACAAACAACAGAATACGAGGCGGCTTCAACGAGCCTGAGCGAAAGGGAAACAAGCACGGCTGTAGCCCGGGGCATGTCATCAGCAGCAGCAGCAGCAGCAGCGGGAACAGCTGTAGCAGAAGGTGCAGCGCCTGGTGTGGAGACGATGGAAGCGACCAAGTCAGCACAAATTGGGCTAACAACTCGGCCCGCAGAAGAGCAAGTACTAGAGCAAATAGCGACTGCAGCCACAGAAGCAGCAGCAACAACAACAGCAGCAGCAGCAGCAACAACAGCAGCAGCAGCAGTGGCAGCAGAAGAGCGTACGACAGAAACCACAACAGCAGCGGCAACAGCGACAGCGGCGATGCTCATATCAACAATTTATCCAGCATCAACGGAAACGGATGGCCACAACTCCATTGAAACGGTGCCAGCAGAGAACCAGAAAAAGGAATCAGAAAACCAAGCATTGGGCAGAGCAGAGCTCCCTGCAGAGGATGATGAAAGGAACTCGTTGATGCCACTGCCGCTACCGCATCCGGGTGGGGCTGATTCATTGACCAAGGGCTTCTCCATACCCACCTTCCTGCCACCATTTCCCGTTTTTGCGGCAGCGGATTTGCCAGCTTACCGAGCTGCAGCCGATGCAGCGGCCGCCGCCGCGGCGGCAATAGAAGAGGCAACCAAAGCAGCAGCAGCCGCAGCAGCTGCAGCAGCATCCTCGGAGGCAGCGACATTGTCGCCAGAGGAGCAACGGCGACGAATGTTTGATGAGCAACATTCGTTCTTGGCCGCCCACCGGGCGGCCCTGGACGGGGACGGGCAGGTGGTGCGACGGAATCTGACAATGCCGGTGCTAAACATCACCGCCCAAATGGGGAATCACGCCTATATGCCATGCCAGGTGAGTGAGTAATCTCCCTCTCTTTCTCCCTCCCTCACACTTGGCCCCCCAGAATCCCCTCCATTGCTGTGTGTCGCATAATCTCTTGGTCTGGCGTTGGGCTTTGCGGGTCGATGGGGGTTCGGTTAGGGCGCGTGATGTAAGTCAGCTAAGCCTTAAAGGTATCGCCCGTAAAGGGGTTTTTAATATGTGCTTACATTTAATTGCGAGTATTAAATTTGAATTAAGTGTCACGTGTCATAAATAGCTGCGAAAACGGTTAAGCCGCTTAAAGCTTGCTACTTTTAAATACATAAAGAGCTACTTTTTAAAATACGTCAATCAGCAAAGGAAAGTGCCCAATTCTTGCTAAAAGTACACCATCAACGTGTCCGAGACTTCCAAACTATTAGTCCCGTGTCTGTTTACATTTATTTTAGCCCCATGCTGCTTTGTCCCATATAAGAGCACTCTATCTGGACCTCTGTGGCGTACCGACTGTCCCTTGTTGCCCTCAAAACCTAACCTAAGTCCACAGACAAGAACTTCAGCAAACATGATGTTCATATTCCCTATGCCCATTACTGGACTCCCCTACAAGCTTCTGGCCGCTCCACGTGGACAATAACAATCAAGTTCAATTATCTGCAAGAAAGTGCTGTGACACTTGCAAAGCTTATCTAAACACTTCCAAAAATCCTAATCACTCCGGCTAAATTTAAAGGCATAAGCCAACCCTTAAAGCTTTGAGTTCCATGATGAAGCAGCGATGAAAACTGAAACCACTCAATGTGCTCGTAGAACGTCCCTGACTCAGTTACTGACTCGTCTCTCAAAATTGAAGACCGACGAAGGGAAGACAGAGTGAATGTCGCACAGTGGCCCAGCCTCTTCATCCTTTTCTCACTTTCTGACTGTTTCTGAATTCCTTTTTAATTTCAACGGACCGGAGATAAAACTAGCATTTACATATTGCACACACCCGCACTCAGATACAGACACAGGCGCAGACTTTCACACATCTACGCAGATACAGTCCACAGATACAGCTGGAGAGACACACTTATTTGCATGCATACACATGCCTGCACAATGTGTTTCACATACAGCCACAACAGACATCAAATTTACATGCGTCTGTAGGTGTTTCTTCCTCCACAGATGTACACATACACATGCATATATCTATATATATATATATATATATGTATCTGTATCTGTAGAACACAATCCAACAACAGAACATAACAGAATGGGAGAGAGGGTGTACAAAAATAAATAAATTGTATGGAATTGTAAACGTTAAATAGATGCCTGGCTCGGCCCTGTGCCTGCTTCTCGCTCTATGTCTGGGCCTGGGTCCGGGGGCCTTGTTTGCGTCATAAAAAATAAACGTAAACAGAATGAATTGTTGATATGCAAATGAAATTATGTTGATCTGTGTTGGACCACAACCAGGAGCAGAAACAAAACCGGAAACGGAAAGGACTCCCGAGCAGAACACACCACGAAAGATGAGAAGCCCCAAACAGAAACACGCCACGAAGATGAGCCCAAGAGCAAAAGAATAGATAACTATAAGAATATTTCAGCAAAAACATAAGCACCTCCATCCTCCAGAGTCCATACTCCATCCTCCATACTCCATACTCCATCCTCCATCCTCCATACTCCATACTCCATCCCGCATCCTCCAGCTTCAACCTCATTTCCATTTCCTTGCGTTAGAAATTCTTTTGGATCTGATTTGCTGTCTGCTGATGCGCTTGAGCCATCAGATTTTTTAACCTGACACCAGAACGACAGGGCAACGTGCTCGGATTAGTGCCATTCTCTGTCCGGGTCCTTGGTAATTATTCATGTATGGATTAGCCAACAGCGAATGAAATTCGTGTAATGTAAAGGCTCATTAGCGGCAGATTGGCCAGGGTTTTACATAATAATAGTTATGTAAATGATAGTTTGCTTAAGCTTTTGCTGGATAATTTCACGATTCAATAATTTTATCAGCAATTGAGTTGGCGTTCAGTTCGGTTTTTAATCGTTAAATTATCTATTCATCGATGGTAAATACACAGCCTCTGTATCCATTCTATAATATTTCTTAACAGAATCTCTTTTGACGTGCTTACGATTTTAGCTGACAGTTCAATTATGGCTTAAATTCTCTACCATTTCCGATTCCTCAACCATTTATGTATCTATCTGTCTGGTCTCTTCTCAGATACATCGCCTCTCCGACAAGCCCGTCTCGTGGGTGCGCATGCGCGACAACCACATTATCAGTGTGGACGAGACTACCTTTATAGCGGATGAGCGTTTCCAGTCGATCTTCCAGGAAGATCACGACTACACCTGGTCGCTGCAGATCAAATACGTAGTGCCCGACGATGCGGGCGGGTACGAGTGTCAAATGGCCACGGAACCGAAGCTGAGTGCCAAAGTGCACTTGGAGATAGTCAGTGAGTACTCTTCGAACCCCAAAGAAGCCACCCTTATTAATGTAAATTTCGAAATCCCCATACAGCACCCAAGACTGAGCTAATTGGGGATCAGAGTCGCTTCGTTAAGGCCGGCAGCAAGGTGGCCCTCCACTGCATCGTTCGGGGGACTCTGGATCCCCCAAAATACATCATCTGGTTCCGGGGCCAGAAGAAGGTGAGCGAGAGCGATGAGCGGACTGGGTGGTATACGCAGCTCGATCGCAATATCTTCGGGACAGTGGGTGATAATCAAAATACGGTAAGTGAGGTGTTTACGGTCCTGCAGTTAGTTAGCTCCCACTGACGATAAACATTGATTGCAGATCGGTTCATTAATTATACCGGTCGTGCGTAAAGAGGACTCCGGCAATTATACGTGCCAGCCATCAAACAGTGTCTCCGTCTCCGTGGACCTGCACGTCCTAAGCGGTAAGTCCCATTCTATAACCAACCCCCCCGCTATCACACAGAATGTGTGTCAGGTCGAATGATTCATATTAATCGCAACTGTCGCCACCACGAATTACGGATTGCCCAACAGGTGAATATTCCGCATCGGCCATCATGTCAACGGCATCGGTATCGTGGACGAAGACAAGGACGAGCACCAGCGGGAGAGGCACGTCCCAATTGATGCTGTGGATGCTGGGACTCCTGGGACTCCTTGGGGCGCTGCAGGGACCGTTGCACACACCCCAGACGACGTGACTCGCCTATTGAATAAACGGGACCCATGGACACACGGACACGCGGTCGAGGATGCTGACTTGGATGCTGCGGACATTGGTGTCCAGCTTCCAATTATTTGTAAGCTTTTGCGCCATCTGCAGTTACGTAATTTAGGTTAGAGATTAATTAAAGGCGGCCTTGTAAATAGCAGAAATGTAGAGAGATGGCAGCAGGATTCTATAATTAGGTTAAATGTTACCATAACTCTCATGACTGCGTGTCAAATACTCGCACTCGTACTCCCCATACTCCCCATACAATTCAATCTACTGTACATTCATTTTTTAGTCATAGATACACGAAGGAATTTTTCCCATTTCAAGTTGTGAAAACGAATCAATAATTAGATTATTGTCAGCAAATGATTAAAACACTAAAAACTTAACACAGAAATCAAGAAAAAAATTCATAAATAAAATGCATTCAATAAATCATGTGAAACTCAATTGAAATCTCTGTGTTCTCTCTCCGATCAGAATGGTAAATCATTTATGGAGCTATCAAACTTGAACTAATTGAGTGGTGTGTGGATTAAAATATTCATAAATATACATACCTATTGTGTCAAACACTGGCAATGTGACTATACGTATCGCTCTATCTCTTTGGGCGTCACAATTTTCACAGTTTTTCATTTCATTTGGTTGAACTCTAAAATCTTTGATTGGTTTTAGCTGAAATATAATTAGTGTATATAATTATTATTAACATCAATTTGTTTCAAACAAATGTTTTTATATACAGGTATTGGGCATTAAAGTCTGTTTGCCCTGGTTACACAATAAAATTTATTTGGAACTCAAATTCCTTTATTGCTGAAATTAACTTTCATAATAGACAGTGTCCGTTTCTTCATAATTTCATTAAATTAAGAGCAATCTCTTTCTACCATTATAGGTCTCTCTAAAATGAACTTTAAATATCCAAACCCCCATCCAAAAGCTTAACAAAATCCACTGACAAAATAAACCCAAAGGGACCCAAGTCCCAGATTTAATATAGCCCAAGAAATACCGTCTTGACCCTCAGTTGACAGAGGGCTAATAAAAGAGGGCGACCAGCAAAGTATTTCCCCGATTGCGATATGCATAAATAATTTAATATTTTATGGTAATTTTGGGCCCCACTTTAACTCCTACTATGACCCATCGCAGGACATCAAAGTGACGAAAAGAAAACACAAATGAGCCAAAAACTTAGAGCCTGGCCAAAACGAGAATGGAGAATGGTGGAGTGCATAAAAACAGAAACAGAAACCATAAACCGGCGAATTCCAGGGCCCATAAAGCCTTTAAGGTAGAGAGTCTATTTTATTGCAGCGGAAATCACATCTCCGTCCAGAGATGGGCATAAAAAACAACAAACCAAAAAATAAAACCAACAAAAGTATGAAGTAAAAATAAGAAACAACACGTAAAATTTGTCGTTGTCCTGTCAAGGCGAAGGATGTGGAGGTGGAAGAGGAGGAGGAGGAGGAGATGGAAGGCAAATCGTGTTGGTTGGACGTAAGCGAAGCAATTTACAAGAAACAGTAAGAGAACCAGAGAGATGGTGGGATGGTGAGATGGTGAGATGGTAGGAAGAAAGGCAGTAAATATTTTTCACTATGTTGCTGCTGATGTTGATGCTGATGACTGACTCGCCCGACGACAGCCATTCGGAAGGAATGGTGGCCCGAAAGGCGAGAGAGAGGAAGAGAGCTGCTGGCTTAAGTCCAACAACTCAGCAAGCTCCCCGTCAAGGCAGGAAAAGTCAAACAAGATGAAGCCAGTTGGAAATGTCCTTGCTCAGCGCTCAACGCTCAACGCTCGAGCAGAGCAAAAATAAAATCCAACAAAAAATAACAACGAACCAAAAAAATAAAACTTTAAGATAAGCAACAGAAAATGGCAAAACGAATGGCAAAAATGGCGCAAGTGAAAGTCAAGTGAACACTTGCAGCGTGACAGTTTCGTCTAACATTTATTCGTATTTTTTCTGCGCTAAATATATTCAATATCCGTTAAAATGCTTCTCGGCCATCACTTCCCTTTCCAGGCTTTGGCTTTTTTTATTTGAATTTTCATTTGATTCGTTCCCTCTCAGTCAATCGAATTACTGAAGTCATCTCATACTTTGCGAAAGGACAACTTGATTGAGCGCAAAAAAATGAAGGAAATTTGATAAAACCTTATACTCTGCTGAGTCGATATCATACTATATAATTTCTGATAATTATTTTACACTACAATCTTTAATATTTCCTTTTTAATAAGTATTGGCTTTTAAATCATGCCACCGTGAAAGCACTGTTCTTATTCCCCATATTCCCGTAACTCGCTTTCAAAGAGTGTTCCGAGAACCGGATCGAAAGAGAATCGAAAGAACTTTTACGTACTTATTATCGTTGCTCTCGCTTTCTCCAGGGGGCAGCGGCAGCTTCCTTGGCATAATGGCTCGAGACTACATGAAAAGCAGGGACGAGTGCAGCGAATGACATCCGGCGCAGACTTGACCGTTTCTGGTGTAACAATTTTTGCTGTTCTTGATGCTGACCCACGCCCCTTTAATTGGGTTAACAGCGAGACAGTCTTTCTTCGTTTTCTCACTTTCCCTGATGGAGGAGGTTTCCTTTTTCTTCCTTTTCCTTTTCGGACAGTGTGTGTATGTCCCTTTTTTCCACTCCTGAAGGACTAAGCTCCTGTTCTGTTCTTGGAAAGGGTCCTTCCCCTACTCTTCTCGCAAAGTGTGAGTGCGTTTTATGTCTTTGATGTCTGAAAGTATCCCACTACTTCAGCCTTGCACTTGGGTCATACAGCCTGAACTTTTCCATCTTTTCTACATATTTTTTTAGGAACATACTGCCCCGAAGCATTTGAGTTCGGGGAAAGTATTTCTCGTGGCTTGCTTTTTGACAGAGCAAAGTCCAACTGAGTTGTGTTTGCGGTATCGCATTTCTGTAAACAGAACAACTAAAAAGACAAACTCCATAAGCCACAATTTGGGAAAACCGAGCCCCTATACTTCTGCAAAATAAAGTAAATAAATCCCAAGTAAATAAATCAGTAAAAATCTTTAGATAATTGTATTGAACCAAAAATTGTTAGAGTCAACAGAAGATGTGCTGGGTGTTCTTGAAGAGGAGTTAGCTGTGAGAGGAGTTAAGGGTAATCACTTTTTGTGGATATTTAAGGCCTCTGATGAACGTCAGTGAGCTCTTATCGACGATGTATCTGTGGAACAGTTCAAATTGAGGAAGATAAATTACATTGCAAAAGAAATTTCTGTCCAAAGAATCCCAATCATTTCGCATTTGCGAACCGAACTAGGTCCATCCTGGATACGGGTCCAGTGCGGCTTTGCCATCGGTCTCCCAGAAATGTGTTTGCTGTAATGCGCGTAAATGCAAATCATTATCAACAACATTTGCATTTGGGTAGAAGCAGCAGCAGGATCACGCAGGCGGAAGCATCGAATCAGACGATGATGATGATGGGTGTAGGGATAGGGATAGGGATAGGGACACCCATGCAAAGAGCATTCCAAATGGGAGCCGGCTGCTCTGTAGAGTCGTTCAACCGCACATTGTGTTCCTCCAACTGGCAGCAGGCTATTAGAGCCGATGAATTTGCCCCACTGTTGTTTGCAGTTATAAATATTTGCACATTTGGCAGTCTGTGGAGCCTGCCGTTGGCCATCGGCGAGTGCAATTTGTGGGCCCCAAATCAGCGAACTTTAATGAATACCTCGCTGAACCGCTGAACAAAAACTCATTTCATTTGCATTACACAGCTCGTACAACACACACACACACACACACAGTGGAGTGTAAGCCGTTGTGTACGTACTCGCAGGACAAACAAAAGGAACATGGAAGACCTACCATAACCCAAAAAAAGAATGAGATGAAGCCCCCTAAAATTCTTTCCACAAGTTATGTTTGCTATTTTCGGCTTGGGCCTTTGTTTCCTCTGCCGCCACGGGTTCAGCCAATGCCTTCCGCAATCTTTTGCAGAATTTTTTTCTTTTCAAACTATGGCACAAATGTTGAAGTGTACATTATTCTTAACTTTTTTGGCGTTCGTTCGATAAGCGCAGCCAGCAAATTATGATGATGGCACTGATGCTGATGATGCCGCTTCTATACGTATACCCCTGACGCTGCTGCTGATGATGATGTTCGACGGGAGATAACCCAGGACCGGGAACAGAACCAGAACCAGAACCAGGACCAGGACCAACTTGAAGAGCAAAATAATAAGTTTTGCCTTCACAGCAAATTTCTTTCGTCATCGGCAAGTGGTAAAGTCGCTTTGGGAAGAGCAGTTTCAGGAGATCGAAGGTGTGATACACTATAAATAGGAAGGCAGTCTGATGGGAAGGACGTTTAGGAAGTTTGTAATAAATTAATTGCTTGAAGGGTCTTGGGTTTGAGAGAAAGATTCTGTCAGTTGACAAGCCCCTCCACAGAGACACTGCATTATGCTAATTATGCATTTAACACAACAGAGAAAACATGCATACGTATGTATATACGATTTTTCATAGGTTTTCGGTCAGTTTTGCTTTATCTCTTGTCAATAAAACAAGAGAAAATTACCTCAATCACAAGCTTTTATGCGAGTTCCACCAAAATCCCATCAACTGAAAGGGGAATGTAGCCTGACACCAGAGTAGGTATACTCGTACTAAAGCAAAAGATACTGAATATTTAAAGACAATCCTTGTTCACGTCCTGGTTTCAGTGTGTTGTCTGGGAGCCAAAATAAAAAGTTTTTAGCTCCCGAGATTGGGTCATTCAGCCAATCCTCTTCGAAAAGTTGCTACATAATGCATAGTCCCGATTCCGGTCGGTGTTGACAATTTACTTAAGCTTCGATTTTTCCTGGTGTGAGAATCTTTCGTCCTTCTGCTAATTAAAAGCTGCCCTCGAATGTAAACTCAATAAATTACCAAGTAAACTTTGTCTGGCAAAAAGTTATTTGGAGTAGCTCCAGCACCCAGCACAAAATCCTGCCCAAAATTTGTATTGGCCATAAAGTTTGGCGCTCACCTTGCGGCTTTAATTAAAGCAATTGCAGTTCAAATTTTAATTAGAAAATGCTCACCAGACCCTGTCGAAGGAACAATCAAATTATATGTTGTTTACACCGTTTGTGGTACTGGCTTAATTTTCGGTGATGCCTGGAAGGCGCCC